ATCCGACTCGCAAAAGCATTATCCCAGGATGGGCGCATCGTGAGGAATAGATGGGTGCACAAACAAATAATAAGTACATAGTAACAAGTGGGTAGTTCAAAGGTACACGCTTACATTTCCCTCAAAATAAACGCAAAGAATAGCATGCCTACCGAAAATAATTTCAGTAGCAATGCAATAAACTGACAAAAAGCAGAGCAGCTCTCCGATCTGTCCAGTAAAGTGACCGGACATCACGGTTGGCTGCTGACCTGGCTATTCGACTGTCGCATTCAACTTCACCTCTTGTTCTGCTAACGAGTGGGGCGCTCAGTAAAAGAGAAAAGAGCCCTGGAAGCGCACACGATTCAATGTCGAGGTAAGAAAACCGAGCATTCCGATAAGAGGGGCATAAATACAGCAAGTATCGTTAAGCGCAAGCAAAGGAGAGGGAAAGTAAAGACGTACACGCAAACACACGCTGGCTTTCCGTCAATGTATCTTCCCAGTCTTTTAATTCTGAAACAGACAGGAGATAAAAAAGACTGATCTGATTAGACCTGTCGGATCGTTGATCACGAAGTCATAATGCAGAATTTGGGGCTGAGCTGCTCTGTGACAGCAACAACAGCAAAAAACTCTGCAACCCACCCTGGATGGTAGCCTCCAGTTCCTTCTGCTTTTTCTCAGCGCGGAACGCAAGCCGATCCAACTCCTTCTGAAGGGCAGTCCGCATTGACTAAAAAGGGGGGGCGCAGATGGGGGGGGCAAAGAACAGAGGAGCGATGCTTCAGAGCAAATTCGAAAAAAAATACAGTAGATCTCTTAACTCGCTTGATTAAATATGAGAAAGCGCATTGTTCTCGAAAAAAAAGAGTGGATTCAGTTTGAAAATTCTGTTTTGTAAATCTGATATGTTCTGTGTCATGAAATTCAGTAATAAATTTGTGCAGTTTCAGTTTGTTTTTCTACACCGAAAATGACGACCATAAACAAGCGTATGTATATGAACAGCAACGACAGGCCGTCACCTTTCTCTGTCACGCCGTATGCGAAAGATGTCGAAACGCTTTCCATCTACGGTTGACTATGAACAAATACGGTAATTCGAAGCGGAAAGAGCAACAGATTATAAATTTTCGAAAAATCATAGCATATATTTTGCCACTCTGTTGTGCATTTGCGATCTCTAGTTTTCAGGGAAATCAAAAAACCGGTCAAACTTTCCCATTTTCATCTTGACTTAACCTTTAAAAAGGGTACGCAGATATTCGGCGCCGAAATATCAAATGAAAGCGCTTTTTAAGGCATAACTAATAACAGAAAGTCTTTTTTTAAATTAGTCTTAGGCTTATCCATTTGTGAGTTTTATTTTTTTGGACGTGCATATTTCTCTGCAATTAGTTGATATTTTTGGTGATCATATAACCATGACCCAAACAGATATCTGCAACAGAAAGAATGTTCAAAAACTCCTTCTGAAGGGCAGACCGCATTGACTAAAAAGGGGGGCGCAGATGGGGGGGAGGGCAAAGAACAGAGGAGCGATGCTTCAGAGCAAATTCGAAAAAAAATACAGTAGATCTCTTAACTGGCTTAACCAAATATGAGAAAGCGCATTGTTTTCGAAAAAAATGAGTGGATTCAGTTTAAAAATTCTGTTTTGTAAATCTGGTATGTTCTGTGCAATGGAATTGAGAAATAAACTTGTACAATTGTAGATTGTTTTTCTACACCGAAAATAATGACCATAAACAAGCGTACAGATATGAACATCCGCGACAGGCCGTCACCTTCCTCTGTCACGCCGTATGGGAAAGGAGATGAAACGCTTTCCATCTACGGTTGACTATGAACAAATCCGATCCCTAATTTTCAGGGAAGTCAAAAAACGGTCAAATGTCCCCCTTTTTATCTTGACTTCAAAGAAGGTAAAGTACGCGGACATTCGACGCCGAAATAGCTCATGAAAGGGTGTATCCACTGGTGATTTTTGTTGTTGACGCTCATCTTTCCCAGCAATTACGTGAGCTGTTTAGGTGATTCCATCACCATAACCATAAGAATGCTCAAAAACTCAGAGGGCGGCGGGAGGAGAGGATGGGGAATAAAAGACCAGGGAATTTGGGAGAAGAAGTCAACTGAAGAGTATAACTGGGAAGCATGATGAAGTTGGACGAGGAAGTGGTTGCGGATCAGCAGAGTTGAAGCAAAAGACGATCAGTAGGATACACGGATATAAATATGGAATTAGATAGGAGTAAGGAGGATAAAATGGCGGGGGGAGAAGGGAGGAAGGCGTAAGAGGGATCGGCTGGGCAAACAGAAGATGCAAGGACAGCAGCAATGAAGAAACGATCTAACTAACCTCGAAGGCTATTAGGCTGCTTCTCGTGACGTGCATCACCTCCTGTCGGGCTCGGCGAGCAGTTTTTGCCTTGACCTTCCTCAAGACCTCGCTAATATTGTCCATGATGGCAATGCGCTGAAAAGGCAGGCTAAAGTTAGGAGATAGGCAAATGAT